GAAGGGACTCAGTTTGGCCTCTTTGGCCTGAGAAAGCAAAAACTAGAAGCAACAGAGTCCTACCAAATTGCTTTTATGACATAAATGTGGTGCTGATACCTAGACTAGAAAGAACAGAAACTGAGAAAGGAAACTATAGACCAATTTCCCTAATGAATATTGACGCAAAAATGTTAAAGAAAATACTAGCAAGGAGATTAGAGCAAGATATCATGAAGATCATATACTATAACCAGGTGGGATTTATACAAGGAATGTAGGGCTGGTTCAATATTAGGAAAACAATCAGCATAATTGACCATATCAATATCAAAAAACATATGATTATCTTAATAGATGCAGAAAAAACTTTTGACAAAATATTACACTTAATTATTTACACTCAATTAGTACCCCCAATTAGGGATTTTTATACATGCTTTAACTATATACCTGAGGATTTTTTCTTGCTTACCATTGCTATGGATGCAGCTGTTTTGATGGAGGGTTGAATGATTTTCTAGGGTAACTAATTATTACGAAACACTGTGGTATAGTGGATGAAGCAATGGACTCAAGGAGACCTAAGTATGATATATAAAATGTTGAGACATAGTTTCTGGGTAATTAATCATTTATTAATCATGTTAGCAGATAATTAACAAAAGGGGTCAGTGACACTCTAGAATGCCAAAGACTCCTCATAGAATCCACTCAACACTTATATGCCCTTGGAAGAGTGAGTGTTCCTGAGGGTGGCAATTGACTCTGATTGGTTAACAAGTAATGTGAAGAATATTATAATGATATAATAATATTATAAATTAAAAACACTAGAAAGCATATGAATAAATGGAGCTTTCCTTAAAATGATAAGTAGTATCTACCTAAAACCACCAGCAAGCATTATCTATAATGAGGATAAGCCTTCCCAACAAGATCTAAGGTGAAATAAGAATGCCCATTATCACCACTATGATTCAGTATTATACCAAAAATGCTAGCTATAGCAATAAGACAAGAAAAAGATTTTGAAAGAATTAGAAAAAGCAATGAAGAAACAAAACTATAACTCTTTGCAGATGATATGAAGGTATACTTAGAGAACCCTAGAGAATCAACTAAAGACCTAGCTGAAACAATGAACAACTTTAGCAAAGCTGCAGTACATAAAATAAAACCACATAAATCATCAACATTTCTATATATTACCAACAAAGTCCAGCAGCAAGAGATAGGGAAATTCCATTTAAAATAACTATAGACAATGTAAAATACTTGGGACTCTACCTGCCATGATGAACTCAGGAACTATAAGAACACAAATACAAAACACTTTTCACACAAATAAAGACAGATCTAAACAACTGGAGAAATATTATTGCTCATGGGTAGCTGAGCAAATATGATAAAAATTACAATTCAACCTAATTTACTTATTCAGTGCCATGCCAATCAAACTACCAAAAATTATTTTATAAAGCTAGGAAAAATAATAACAAAATTCATCTGGAAAAACAAAAGATCAAGAATGTCAAGGGAACAAATGGAAAAAAATATTAAGGAAGATAGCAGTGCCAGATCTCAAGCTGAATTACAAAGTGGTAATCATGAAAACAATCTGGTACTGGCTAAGAAATAGAGTGGAAGATCAATGGAATAGATTAGGTATATAATACATAGTAATATTAAGTGACCATAGTAATCTAGTATTTAATAAATGCAAAGATTCAAGCTTTTGGGACAAGAACTCACTATTTGACAAAAAACTACTGAGAAAACCAGAAAGCAGTCTGGTAGAAACTAGGTATAGACCAACATCTCACACTGTATACCAAGATAAGGTCAAAATGGGTACATGATTTACACATAAAGGTTGATAACATAAGCAAATTAAGAGAGCATGGAATAGTTTATCTGTCAGATTTATGGGTAAGGGAAGAATTTAGGACCAAAGAAGATAAAAAGAGCATTACAAAATGTAAAATAGATAATTTTGATTATATAAAATTTAAAAGTTTTTGCACAAACAAACCTAATGCAACCAAAATTATAAAGAAAGCAGGAAACAGGAAATTTTTCACAATAAGCATCTTTGATAAAGGCCTCATTTCTCAAATATATAGAGAACTGAATGAAATCTATGAAAATACAAGTCATTCCCCAATTGATAAATGGTCAAAAGACATGAACAGGAAGTTTTCAGCAAAGAAATCAAAGCTCTCTATAGTCATATGAATAAATGCTCTAAATCATTTTTGATTAAAGAAATGCAAATTAAAATAACTCTGAGGTACCACTTCATATCTATCAGATTGGCTAATATGACAGAAAAGGAAAATGATAAATGTTGGCAAGGATGTAGAAATGCACTGTTGCAAATGCACACTAGTGCACTATTGATGGAGTTGTGAACTGATCCAACTATTCTGGAAAGAAATTTGAAACTATATCCAAAAGGCCATAAAATCATTTGTATCCTTAGACTCAGCAACATCACTACTGGGTCTGTATCCCAAAGAGATCAAATAAAGAGGAAAAAGACCTATAAGTACAAAAATGTTTTTATTTATAGCAAAAATATCTATAGCAGCTCTTTTTCTGGTGGCAAAGAATTGGAAATTGAGGGGATACCCATCAATTGGGGAATGACTGAACAAGTTGTAGCATATGATTATAACAATGCTACTGTGCTATAGGAAATGATGAGCAGAATAGTTTCAGAAAAACCTGGGAAGTCTAATATGAACTCATGCTAAGTAAAGTGAGCAGAACCAGGAGAACATTGCACATAGTAACAGCAATATTGTAATGATAGTCAACTGTAAAAGACTTAGCTATTCTGTTCAAGACAATCATCCAGGACAGTTTCAAAGGACTCATGAAGAAAAATCTTTCTATATCCAGAGAGAAAACTGATGAACTTTTGTGTGCAGATTGAAGCATAATTTTTCACTTTATTTTTCTTACTCCCCCCGCCCCCAACATGGTTAATATGGAACTGTTTGGCGTGATTTCATATGGACAATTTATATCCCATTTTTTTTTGCCTTCTCAATGGGTAGGTGAGGGGAGGGAGGGAAATAATTTGGAACTCAAAATTTAAAATAAATGATTGTTAAGAAAAATAAATTTAAAAAAACAACAACATAGAAGCAACAGGTGAAAGCTAGGAGTGGGGAAGATTTTGGCAGAGCATGAAATAAAAATTGCCTCCCAATTAGAACTGTCTAATGAAAGGGGCAGCTAGGTGACACAGTGGATAGAGTCCTGGAGTCAGAAAGACTCTTCTTCATGAGTTCAAAGCTGGTCTCAGACACTTACTAGGTGTGTGACCTTGGACAAATCACTTAACCCTGTTTGCCTCAGTTTCTCATCTATAAAATGAACTGGAGAAGGAAATGGCAAACCATTCCAATATCTTTCCTGAGAAAACCTCAAATGGGATCATGAAGAGCTGGACATGAGTGAAAAATGACTAAGTAACACAATATGGAAAGGTGCAACTAGGTGGCACAATGGAGATAGAGCACTGGGCCTGGAGTCAGGAAGCCCTGAATTCAAATGTGACCTGAGACACTTACGAACTGTGTAACCCTGGGCAAGTCATTTAACTCTGTTTGCCTCAGTTTCCTTATCTGTAAAATGAACTGGAGAAGGAAATGGCAAACCACTCTTGTACCTTTGCTAAGAAAACCCCAAATGGGGTCGTGAAGAGTTGGACACAACTGTAACAACTAAACAACAATAAAATATGGAAAAGGTTGTTCTTGGATGGTTTCCTCATCAGATTCCTCATCACTGGAAAGTCTTTAAGTAGATGACCACTTGTCAGAAAATGCTGTAGTGGGGATGTCTGTTCATGTATGCAGTGGGCAAGATGATCCCCTCAGGTCTCTACCAGTTCTATGAACAGTGATATGTTTACCCCAGTTTCTCTGATTCTACCAGTCATCACTCTGGTGGGATTACAGGCTATTCCCTCTGGGTATATGGCTTCATGGTTTCTTTTTTTAATCACACTGCAGAATTGCCTTTGTTCTCCAAATAGGGAAATTAGTCTGGCTTCTCAGGCCTAAGAGGCCAAAATTGAATCTCTCCTTTTCTATAACAGCCCTTCACATACTTAAAAATAGCTATCATCTCAATTCAAGCCAACCAACCATTTCCTAGGCTGGGGTAGGAAAGATAAAGAAAGGGAAAATCTGCTTCATTTAAAAGGGACAAGGTTACATCCATGTGTTTTTTATTATTCTGACAGTGCCATGCTACTTAGCACAGCATCTTAAGATCATTATACAACTTCAGCCCCTAGCATCTTCAGAGGAGTCCAGCCCCACATAGTACTCACTAGCACAACACTTTGCTTTCAAAACAAGCTGTTTACTTTTTTTTTTTTTGCCTCCAAGACCCACCCAATTATTTCTTTTCATCTCATGCCATCCAGAGGCAAGCTAGCCCTCTTAACAGAGTCAGTCTGGCTGTGGATGAGACTGAAACATAAACAAAAAACATCAATATGATACCCATCTTCTTCAATCTCCCACATCATGTTCTTAGACACACTTCTGAGATGGAGCCCCTCTGAGATCTGGGGCTTCCTTATCATCTGTTCTGTGATATACTGCCTAACTGGGAGATTTTGAACTAGATGGCATATGGAAAGTGCTGTGTGATTGAACAACTATTGCCTCATCCATGGGTTGATTGTAGGCGCCAGTGTTAATCTTATTAGTCGATTCTGTTCTCTGGCTACAATAAAAGTGTAAATATTTGTAAATTCTCTAATCTGTTTCAGCTGCTGCAATAGAATAATTTGATAAAACCAAGTAAACTTCCCCAAGATTAACAGAAGTTTATGACTATGATAAGCAAATGAAACTTCCCCCTACAGTAGGCTAGCTGAGAGATAGGTCAAAAAATTTTTTTTTCAGAAGGCTTATGCATCAGGGACTCCTGCCTGTCAAACCCTGATGATACAGAATATGAAGTAACAGGTACAAGTTAATCAGCATACTTACCTATCTGCATGGCACTTCGAGACTGACTGGCTGCCTGCTGAGCTGAATGCCTCAGACAATTGCTCAAAGGAGGAGAAGCTGCCTGGTGCTGGGGATGGGTCTGAGGTGCAGTGAGTGGAACAATGGGTCTGACAGTAGTGGCTGGGTTGGTCAGGCTTCCACCTCCTGGAAGAGCAGCTCCTGCCATCCCTTTAGCCAGCGGAGACCCTCCAGGAATATTATTCCGAGGCTGCCCAGCTCCTCCTATAGGAACCCTGCGAAATACAGCAGAATGGAATAAGGTGAAAGGATTCTGAAGCAGACTTACCAGGCAGGTCATCTATAGGGAGAAACACCATCAGCTCTTTGTAGGACCTAAAAGTAGAAGGTCATGTAAATGGTCCTGGAAGGTCTGGTCATGAAAACATTTTGAGAGAAATTTTCACACTCGAACAATGTTCATTCTTAGATGAGACCAGGCCAATAAGATGACTCTTGGAAAATTTATGATGCCCCTGTTCTCAATAGGAATGCTCTGGAGAACATAACAGAGAAATGAACCTTTACCAAAAATAAATCAGGAAACAGCAGAGTTTTTTGCTTTAGGGAAGAAAGCATAGTCAAAAGAATGTTGAATTTGGAGTCAGAGGACCAATGTTCACAACCTAGGTTCTACAAATTACTACCTGTGACTGTAGACAAATCAATTCACCTTTCTGAATCTCCATTTCCTTATGTATATGTTACTTAGTTTAGACTAGATGACCTCTAAAGTCCTTTCCAGTTCTATGATCCTAATTAATTCTTAAAATTACACAAAAACAAAAACAAAAAAACTCTGACCACATCTAGATGAAACTAATGACTCAGCTTCATCTGATCAGGATGTTTTATGGAAGGGATGGGGCAATCCAACAATTAGTTGATTCCGTCTGGACACATCCTTCATTCCATTTCCAAAGGCCTTTGACCAAAACTTCTGGGAAATGGAACAGAGGACATTTCTGTGCCTTGATCAGGAATGTCCAGGGCTGTTGAATTTCAAGACCAGGAACTGATATTTTTTACATCAAAGTTTTAAAATGAAACTCAGTTGAAAGTGTTTAAGAAATCCAAAAGGAAGGAGTTGGCAGAACTACCTTCAAAGTATTCCTCCCTGTGCTAATTCCTTATGCTGTTTCTGGACACTGAATTGCAGCGATGTAGTGGATTCCTAGGTTTTCTAAGAAAAGTAGCTAGAGGAACCAAAAACATTATATCTGGTCCCAGGGACACTGAGGTGACAACTAGTAGCTGGGGAAACATCTGCCTAATATTCAGTCCCAAAACAGAATGGAGACAAATTGGAAAAGGGCCCATCTTGTGCCATGACAGTGACATATTCACAAGTGATGGTTTTGTAACATGGGGTCAGGGCTTCAATCAGAAAGAAGGTCCCTTGAGCCTGAATGCAATACTTATGTTTAGTGGATATGGAAAAATAAAAGGTCTCATCAACAAGCATTCAACTGTCAAGATGGGATGGGGCTTTTCTTAAACCATTGTAACAGCTCTGAAAATAGCTCCTTATGAGGACCTTAGTCAGAAAACTAGCAAGGAATGCTGATTTGATTGCATCTGCTACCTGTCGAACTGCCTTTCATGCTAAGAGGTAATAAAAACAAACAAAATAAAGAGGGCTGGTGCAGTATTGTTACTTATTTGCAAGACCACACCAAAAGTGCTGAACAGCTTTGCTAAAACAGTGCATTTGAAGGAAACTCAAAGCCTATTATTTATTCTATCAGTACTGACAATACTTCAGTGAGACACCAACAGAGAAGGAAACCTATAATAATAATAGGTGATATTTATATAGTATTTTATACTTTATAAAGCATTTCACATACTTAATCTCATTTGAACCTCAACTCTGTGAGGTTGGTAATGTAGATATTATCTTCACTGTGTAGATGAAGAAATTGAATAAAAAGAGATTAAATGATTTTCCCATGAGCCATAAAACTGATCTGATAGAAGTGAATCTGTTTTGTATTAGGGCCTTTGAGAATGGTCCAGTGATGGAGCCTTCAAAATTTTCCTTAGTGTGAGAAGTTTTCATGTAGCTTCTAGTAATTCACCATACTTTCTTCTTCCCTTTTTCTAAACCCCCAAATTCAACTGAACGTGAATGCATTAAGCACTTCCATGTATCAGCCATTGTGGTCAGCACTGGGGATGCAGAGATAAAAAAAAAAGAGGAAAAAAAAAGAAATGGCTCATTTCTCTAAGGATCTTACATTCTACTGACTGAGCTTAAAGGTTATTGGAGGGTAAGAAACCCATAAAAACTTGAATAGGTTTTGGTATGATGGGTACTATGTGATTAAGGGTACATGTACAAAGATTCCTACCCCACCCACCATCCCTTTACTCTTTTATCTTTTCTCTAAAAATGGATATAACTTTATTTCTATTCAAAAATTGTTTTCTGATTTTTGTTGGTTTTTATATCACTTTCATTTCTGAAAATGTCCCTCCTGATTCCTTAAACTGTGAATCATCCCTTGTAACTGAGAATTAAAAGAGAAAAAAGACAGTTCAGCAAAACTAACCAACAAGTAAAGCAAGTCTGAAAGTATATGCAATATTCTATATCCATAGTGTCCTGCCTCTCCAAAGAAGGGAGGGAATACATATTCTTATCTCTCCTCCAGGGGCATATTGTAGTCATTATAATTTCACAGCATTCAGTTTTGTTTAAGGAATATTTTATAATTGTAATGTCTTGAGAGTACCTTGGTAGACTGACTCCCAGGTACATTTTGTAATCATTTTAAATAGGAGTTCCCCTTCTATTATTTCCTACTGGATTTTGTTATTGCTGTATAGCACAGTTCTTGAACTTTTTGGTATCAGGACCCCTTAACATTCTTTAAAATGCAAAGAACTATTGTTTATGTGACTTATATCTATTGATATTTACCATATTTGAAATAAAAACTGATAGTTTATTTATTAAATAATTTAAAATAATAAACCCATTACATATGAACATAAATAACATATTTTTATGAAAAATAACTATTTGTCAAAAGAAAAAAATTAGTAAGAAGAGTGACATTCTTTTACATATTTTTGCAAATCTCTTTAATATCTGGCTTACCAAAAGACAGCTGGATTCTCATATCTGCTTCTGAATTCAATATGTTGTGATAGGTTATTTTGGTTGAATTATATGAAGAAAATCTGGCTTCCCACAGATATGTAGTTAGAAAAGGAGGAAGTACTTTCATAAGTAAATTATGTCAGTATTATTATGAAGATAGTTTTGACCTTGTGGCCCCCATTAAAGGGTTTGGAGGACTCTCAAAAGCCTACAGATGAAACTTTGAAAAGAAATGTATGATTTCCATGGATTTTTTTTTTTTGCATCCTGATACTTTACTAAAGCTCTTAGCTCTATTAATTTCTTTGTTGATTCTCTGTGTTTTCTAAATGAATTGCCAGTTTGTAATCAGCAAAGACATTTTGTCTCCTCTTTGTCTTTGTTTATAGCTTTAATTTCTTTTTCTTGTCTAGTTTCTATGACTTGCTCTGTTGTTTTCAGTTGAGTCTGACTCTTTGTGATCTCATTTGGGGTTTTCTTGGCAAAGGTACTGGAATGGTTTGCCATTTTTTCTCCAACTCATTTTACAGATGAGGAAACTGAGATAAAGAAAGTGAAATAACTTGCCCAGGGTCACATAGCTAGTAATTGTTTGAGACCAGGTTTGAAGTTAGGAAGATGAATCTTCCCAACCCTAGACTTGGCACTCTAAACACTGTGATGCCCAGCTGCCCAATTTGCTATTACTAACTTATCTAAAACTATATTGAATAAAAATGGGAAAAGAAGACACCCTTGCTTTACTTCTGTATGTATTGTCTAAGCTTCTAGTGCATGCCTACTATAAATAATGCTAACTTTTGTCTTTAGATATATTTCTTATCATATTAAGAATGGCCTCAACTGTATTACTTTTAATCTTGTAGCTTCAACTATTTTTTGGGAACAGTTATTTCATCAGCTTGAGGAATGCTTGATGAGTTCCATAGAACTCATTCTACAAACTCAGATTATGACCCCTTTAAATTAAGAATTAGTAGTTAAATACTAAAAGATCATTAGAGGCACATAGAAATTGTTCAGAGTTACATAGCTAGGAAATGTAAAAGATGAGATATGAATCCAGATCTTAACTCAAATTCTAGCACACTATCCACTAGTTTCTGCTGCCTCTATTCTGATTATAATCAATAATAATAATAGCTAACATTTACATAGTGCTTATTATGTGCTAGGCACTGTGCTAAGCACTTTACAAATATTATCTCATTTGATCTCATGACAATCCTGGAAGAGAGATGCTATTATTATCCCCACTTTACAGATGAGGAAATTTGCCTAGGGTCACACAGCTAGTAAGTGTCCAAGCCATGGTCAGATTTTAAGTGAGGTTTTCCTGACTTCAGGTCCAGTGTAGTGATGCTACCTAAAATGATGCTTATCCTAATCAGTTAAGAGTTAAAATGCCCCCTAAATAAATGAGAATGTTTTATGATCTGTAGGTGGCATTTGGGGTGGTGGTGGTGGCATTTTTCATGAGTTAATGAATGATTCACTCTAAGAATACGAGAAAATCCTGCCTTGTAAAAGAAAAGAGAAAACAATAAAAAGGATGAATGGAGCAAATGGAGACTTAACTTAGGGTCGAAAAGCTGATTGACTGAAAAGCAGGGGGACTGACCTTCTTGTCTGAGACTTTTCCCTCCAGGAAATCTATTTTCATAGTAGGGAAGGATCTTACACACTGATCCCAACCTAAGGTTAATGGAGTGAGAGTACTATATCAACAATTAGTATGTTGAACTTAATTCTTCTGTGAGGGCTCTAATAAAATTTAGTTATGTAGTTTACATTGGAAAATAATTACCTTTATCTCTATGTACAAAGGAAGGCAGTGTGGTATGGGGGTGGGAGGTGGCGGGAAATAGGGAAATCACTGGATTCTAGAGGAAAACCAAAGGATTAAGGTCACATCTTAGAACTGCTACTTAAAATCTATGGAATCTTAGAAGAATCACTTAAATACTCTAGGTTTCAGTTTCCTTCTCTAGGAACGAAAACATTGAATCTGATAATCACCAAAAAAAGGGAGGGGAACAAAGACTACACAGTATAAGCTAGTGAGCTTGACTTTGATTCCTTTTTTATTTCCTTTTTTTGATACGGTAACTAAACTTAGGAGAGGAG